CACTTTAAAGCCCAAGCAAGTGACCGACCGGCCAGACAATGATGCTCTTGCTGAGCCACTGACAGAAAAGGCAACTCACCCGTTCCTGAAACTGGGATAACAACTGGCTGCTTGCAAGCAGGAGATCTCTAGCTTTTGAACTTTTCCGTCCTGTGATGATGCTGTGGTGAGCCTGCTGATCTGAAAGCTGTCTCTTCTGGATTTCTGAGCTGGCCAGATTGAAAGAGATTAATGGACTGATCAGTCATAGCTTTCAGGTCTCTTCAGGGGGGTATATCCATTCGGCCCCTGTCGCTTGGGTGCTCGTGGTGAGGGGAGCGGGACATCTTTGTATCAGCGGGTCACTGGCTCCCCGCCCAAAAAAATCTCCTCGCCAGGTCTCCTCCGCAGAGGAGAAGAGGCAGATGAGACTCCAGGACTGCCTCCAGGGCAGAACTTTGTAGCGCTCTCACCATCCCTCCGCAGCGTGGATGTGAGCCACAGGAGTTGGAGATGTTTGAGGCAGTCTCTGCCAAGTGACACCTAGCAGCTGCTCCGGAGGTTTTTGCGTGGTTTCACACTCAAGGGCTTTGCCTGTTGTGAAGATGTCCATGGTGTTTCTGTGAAGCTGAGGTATGGCTGCTGGAAGGTTACTGCTGTATGCTGGCCTCTCTTTAGCTCTGTGTGCCCTGGGCATGCTGGCTGTGGCAATCTGCTCTGACCATTGGTATGAAACTGATGCCAGGAAGCACAGAGAGAGGTGCAAGAGCATCACCACTAAGAGAAATGATCCTGGCTTCATTTATAACTCCAACAACAACCTGCCTCTCAGGGCCAGCAGGTCTAGGTTGGACCGCTGGGAAGGGAAACTCCTCTTGGCAAGAAACAGGAGGCAGATCTTTGCTATGAGCGCAGTCGACGAGTGCAACAGACAGTACAACTCGACCAACATGGGGCTCTGGAGGAAATGCCTGCGACAAGGATTCGACCAAGAGCTGGAGGAGCTGATTGCCAAAGGTAAGGGCTGTTTTTTACCAAATGAACGTGCCAGGCCCTCCTGAGCTGAGCAGAGGCTCAGCAGAGCCGTTTGGGCTCACAGATGGGAGCTGGCATCTCTAGCCAAGTACCTCTCCTTGCGATGGGTGAACTGGCCTGGCTGGGCATCGTTTCCCAAAGCACTGCCAGGGCATTCTCCCATGGGGTCTCTACTGCTGAGGCATGGGGTTTGCAAGCAAGAAGGTGGTGGGGATGAGAGCAGACACAGCCCAGAATGTGTCCTCTGTCATGTCTCTGTCTCTCTAAGCTTAATATAGTCTGCCCATCACCATGGTATCAGATCATTTTCCACATACAAATAAAAAGTGTTAATAAAGCAGACATTGGATTTTTTTTTTTAAATTTCGTTTGACCCTGGTGACTCAGGCAAAGTACATATTATTTTATTGGAGGCTACATGTGTCTGTATTTCATCATTCCCTTACCGAATGCCCCATCAGTCCCAAAATACACCATTTGCAGTACTCACATGCAGGCTTTTTCTATCCTCAAATGGAGAGTAAACAAAGAGAAATGCTAAAAAGCAGGAGGAAACCCAGCTTGCTGTTTACACTGAGCTATATTTTGGAATATTTTCAATGTCTACAAAACATTACATTACTTCATTAGGAGTGTTAGAAAGGAATAATTTTCTCTTGGGGTGGAGATGCATCTGTTTGCCTGTAGCATTTTTGTGCTATGTTTTTTCTTGTCTTTTGGTCCTTCTTCTTTTTTTCCCTGAGGTACCAGTTCAAGGTTACGGTCAGTTTGCCTCAAATGTTTCTTTGATCCAAAGTGTCGGAAGGGGAGATATGCATAAAACCCAGCCCAAACATCCTGTCTACAAAAGATGTATGCTTCTGCAGGATGATGAGGGTTTCAATAAAGGCTGACAGCATCTTTGCTACCCACAGCATGGTTACACCATACAACAAAATAACGTTTCCCTCCCATGGTTCTTCTGTTGCATTCAGATGATTCCCCAGCAGTTTATTTCCATCACAGTGAAATCATTGCTTCTTACACCATGCAATCTTTAAAAATACTTGTTTTCTAAGTGTGTTCTCTGTCCCAAACTCCCTTGATAGCCTGCGTTAATTCCCTTTTCAGACATTGCAAGTGGAATTATTGCTTAAAGCTAATTATTCACAAGGGATATAGTTTCACACGTGTTTGCCAATGTATACATTTTGTTCTGTATGTTTTAAAAGTGAGCAGTAGAGGTGAGTAGCATGGTATAGATTTGCACTGAAACCGTTTGTAGGGTGGTGTACCAGAGAACCTAGATCACTAGTTGGGATCCTGTCTGTGTTGCTAGTGACCCTTAGAGTCCAGTTGCTATTTAACAACCCCTGTGAAATGAATCAGGGGTTTCAGTCCCATTTGTAATGGACAGGTGAACATGTCCAAAGCCTGTCTGCACCCTGGCACTCTGCTGCTGGTTTTGGTGCCGAAGGAGGGATTCTTCTTCTCTGTCTGGGTGAGGGTACAGCTGTGCTGGGCTGGCTGTGGAGGGCTGGATCACTCTGCCACGTGTGCTTGCTGTGCTTGGGGCATAAACAAAGAAATTCAGCCTTGACAGTGGGCAAACGTGTCACCAGAGCTCACCTTTGGCAAATGGAGTTTCAGTTATTAGAGAGGTTTTTCAGCTTGAAATAAGCAAGACTTGTTCCTCTTCAACTGTCTGCCTAGTCCTGGGTTCAGGAACATCCGTGTCTCCTGCCAGAAACTGCTGAAATTGCCTGGCACTGGGTTATGTGTAACAGCAGCTCTGCTAAGTGTTCACCATAGAGAAAATGTGGCAACTCAAGCTGAGGTGGTTAAATGCAGGAGATGATAGTCTTCAAAAGGTCCTGCTGTAATTTGTGTGTGTTCTTGTGTGTGTATGAGTGTGTGAATAAGTGTATGTGTGTGTGTAGTGAACTAACTCTAGATATACAGCTTTCAGCAGGTAGCAAGGGATTCCCGGGCTGAGGTACAGCGTGTGTCCCTGCACACATGCTCCTGGACATATGTGTCTGCAGATGGCCAGTAGCCACTTCGCGGAGTTGCCCCCAGGTCAGACGTGCAAATTGTGCACGTAAGGGAGGTATGTGCAAATATCGGTGTGTGTCACTCCTTGCCTTCTTTAAAGGTTTTTTGATACACATTTGACAAACTTCATTGTACGTTCAGAGAAATGTTAAAGGAGGGAGACTGGTAAGACTGAATACCAACATTATAGTTCGTTTGATGGTGTTTCTGGAGTGAAGATCTACCTATATTATAACTCTTAGCCATGACGAAGAGTCACACACATTAGCGCTAATGCTATAGAGGTGTGTTCCTTTGGCACCTCCAAATAAAAACATAGAAAAGCAAGTATAATGGCAATTTGAGAAAATAAAGTGTTTGACTTGCTCGGAAATAGAACTGGAGGTATTATAGGATTGCTTGTCCACTTTATGTTTTGCTAGATCAAAAAGAACTAATGGATTTTACTCTCCCCTTACCAAAAAGTAATGTAAAACACTTACCTGTTAAAAATCCTTGTGTGCTGGCATCACTGAATTACAAGGAGCCAGCTTTACATGGGTAGTCAACTAGCATCCCTCTTCCCACCTAAGACCAGCTACTAGACTGTTTCTTTATGATCCTTAGCTATATGATGAAAGTGGAATAAGTACATTTGCCATCACTGTCCGATGTTGAGAACTGCTACAAGTTCAAAAGGAGACAGGGATTTTAGGTTCATCCTGACAGCACTACCTTGCTTTTCTAGTTTTTCTTCCGTGGCAGGTGCTCGTCTGGAGTTAGAGGTTGCAGGGCTGGGTGCCTGGGCAGAGCGTGCCCTGTACAGGTGTGAAGAGCTGCAGATGTTCTCTACCTGTAGTAATCAAATACCCTGACTGGGGTACATATTCCTGCATGGATGAAATCTCTCCCTGTATGAGCTCCAGGGTAAATACCATATAGAAGAGGATGTTATTGGTACATAGGCCTTTTACTCTCCTTCCTCTGCCAGCTGTTAATTTAATCTAGCACACCTCTTCCGGAACTGGATAAACTAATGCAGGTTCTGGCCCCAAATATTGTCTGTAATGCTATATGTAATTGAATGTAAATGCTATTAAGCGTTGGTGTACTTTTTTTTTAAGCTGGACAGAATCTAAGTGATCCATTTATTTTGACACAGATACTACATTTTTCCCTAGGCAAAACTTCCAGTATTGAGAACGGTAGGTTTGTCTGTCAAAGGATAAGAAAAAATGGTCATTAAGAGCCTATCCAGCTTTGCAAATACCCTGCAGTTATTCTGCTTATGAACACTGCTGAAATTAATACAAGCTGTAGGCAATGGCTTGTGGCAGGATCAGGCCCTATGGTACTTTGCAGTATCTGATGCCAGTGATTTTAAAAAACAGTTCTGTTTCTGAATAGGCTGGGTGACTTCTGTAATTCTGTTCTGTATTTATTAGTTTTTACTTTCCGGCAAATAAATCAAAACCTTTGTGTTGGATTTTGCTAGAAAAAATGGAGATCTGTTACTTCAGATTTCGTATGGATAGATGTAATAGACACTAATGCATGTATAAAATAATTGGTCCTATTTATATTTCTCCTATCCCTTTTTTTATATTTCTGTAGAACTCAGGTGCATATTTCAAAATAATACAACTAGATAAATAGACAATGAATTAAAACAAATTGTCACTAATAAGCATACTCAGGGAGAGGCAGGCAGGCACGAGACCAAAGGCCTGTACAATATTCTAATGCTGCATTAAAATTAGGCAGTTAATTTGTTCTCTTTGTTACCACAAATGAAAAAAACACGAATGAAACAACAGAAATTACAGCCAATAAAGAAGTTATTGGAGTTGAACGTGCAAACCCAGGGCCCAGTCTTGCTGACTTTTACTCACCTGAATAATCTTTATTTCTGTGAATGGGCTACTAGGACTGAGGAAAAGCACTCTTGTACAGAAGGACCAGTCAAAAAGAATGTGTACATAAAGCTGGTCCTCTGATTCTGCATCTGACAAAGTCTTTTAGCATCCCAGGACTGGAGTTTCACTCCTGATCCCTAAAGCCTTGCAGAGTCAGGAGGCGCAGGCTCTGGGTTTGTTCATCTCAATACTCTAAGCTTCTTCCGATTCTCAGGTGTCTGTCCGGTCTCCTCTGTGAATTAGATAGCCTTGCTGCTTAACGCCCCTTTGAACATAGTGTTCCCTATATCCTATTAGATCCACTTTTTGCCTGTTTACCACTGAGTTCCTATTAAAAGCAGCATAAAAAAAAACTGCCCCCTACCAAAAGTCCCAGTGAACCACCCGCCTCCACCGCTGAGCAAGCAGAGTTGAAATGCAGGTAAGTGTTCATCTCTGGCCAGGAGAAGGCAGAGTTTATGTCCTGCTTTGGCAACCAGCGACTCACAACTCCTTGTATGCGACTGCTGGTGACCCAGAAAAAAAACCTGGAAGCCACAGAGTCTGTCCGTGTCCCACGGCAACATTGCTCAGACACTTTCCTGCACTAGTCGAGAGGAAAACAGGAAAGGAAAAAAAAGAATTACATCATTTAATTATAAAGGTACAATAAAGTAGATGAAGAAGTTGCACAATAACCAGAGTCTGTTCCATTTAGACAATTACTACTCAGAGGACCTTTCATCTCACTTTTGGAAGGCTGCCAGTTAAACCTGTCTGGATGGGTCTCTGCTGCCTGCCATTGGAATCCAATTTTATTTTTAAAAAAATTTACAATGACCTTATTATTTCAATCCCCCTTTTACCTTCCTTCTTTCCCCAAGATCCATGGAAGTCATAGTAAATCCTATTTTTAAAACATCTTATTGCGAGTATACTTAGCCCATGCCACTACTGAAAAAAAAAAGAAATTCCTGTGCAGCCCACCTCCACCCCAAATAATATGCAAGATTTCTGGGATGAAAGCATTCTCTGTTTTGGTTTGTCAGATGCACGGCACAACTGAAGAAGAAA